AACACAACTTGAAACATCATGCATTGAATCAAGTAGTAATTTCTTATGTTTTTCATGCTCCAACATGCAATACTTAGTAACAGTATACCTAGGTATATCCTTAACAGAAGAATTAAGGCAATGATGTGAATCCCTAAGTTTTTCATGCTCAACAATACTATATGCATAACCATGACACAGAATAGCCTCAGCAAACAATTCACAATATTTTTTTTGATCAAAATAAACTACATTACCAGGATTTTCAGTAAGAAAATCCTTATATGCTTGGTATTTTTTAGTATGCCTTTTAGGGTTAGATGTAACAATATAAGAATCGACTTTATACCTTTTCACTTTGCAATACTTACACTTGGCATAAACAAAACCATCATCAGATTTAATGAATGTGTACTGGTCCCAAACAAGAGAGGTTATTCTCCCAAAATCGGATGAACCAGTGGACTTCCTCTTAGAGGATTTATTTAAATCAATTGCTTCGGACAGTATATCATTTACATCTCCTTGCAAAAAAAAAAAAACCAAGGTTAGTTTACATTACATCAATAAACCAATATATTATTGACATCAACAACAATAAACTAATATATCATTTACATCAACAACAATAAACCAGTACATCATTTACATCAACATCAATAAAGCAGTACATCATTTACATCAACAGCAATAAACCAGTATATCATTTACATCAACATCAATAAACCAGTATATCATTTACATCAATAGCAATAAACCAGTACATCATTTACATCAACAACAATAAACCAGTACATCATTTATATAAAAAACAATAAACCAATACATCATTTACATCAACAACAATAAACCAGTACATCATTTACATCAACAACAATAAACTAGTACATCATATACATCAACAACAATAAACTAGTACATCATTTACATCAACAACAATAAACCAATACATTATTTACATCAACAAAAATAAACCAATACATCAACAACAATAAACTAGTACATCATTTACATCAACAAAAATAAACCAATACATCATTTACATCAACAGTAATAAACCAATACATCATTTACATCAACAACAATAAACCAGTAGATCATTTACATTAACAGCAATAAACCAGTACATCATTTACATCAACAACAATAAACTAGTACATCATTTACATCAACAACAATAAACCAATATATCATTTACATCAACAACAATAAACCAATATATATATATATATATATATATAATAATGGGCAGTTTATCTCTTTCAGAGTGATGGTCATTCTGATCTATTGGGTTTGGATCTACAAAACAAATAAATAATAGATTAATTCGAATATTAAATTAAAAATGAAAAATGAAAAAAAAGGCATGAGAAATACCAGAACCTAAGTAATTCAACTCGTACGACAAACTATCCATGAAACTGTAGGAAAAAATTAAAGGTTTCGAATAGTTTGGGTTCAGGTTTAGGTTTGGGTTTAGGTTTAGGTTTAAATTAGGGTTTAGGTTTAGATTTCGGTTTGGGTTTGGGTTCGGATCAGGATTAGATTTGGGTTTAGGTTCAATTTGAGTTTGGGTTTTAGTTTCGGTTTGGGTTTAGTTTGGGTTTAGGTTAGGGTTTGATTAGGTTTGGGTTAAGGTTAAAGTTAGGGTTCAAGATTAGATTAAGGGTTAAGAAAGATGAATAGTAGTTTAGGGTTAGGGGTTAAAGAAGATAAATAGTTTGGGTTTTGGTGTTTGATCGAAAAAACCAAGTTTGTTTTAAGTTTTGGGTGTTTATAAGGATTTGGAGAAGAACACGGATGAATAATGGATGAAATTGTGGGTGTTTGATCGAAAAAATATGAAATGGTTTGGGTTCAGTGTTTTTGAAGATCAAATGAGGGTTTTGGGGAAGAACTGGGATGAACAAATGAAGAACACATATGAACACCGATGAAAATTTGGGTGTTTGATCAAAAAAAAATGAAATGGTTTGTGTTTAGGTGTTTTTGAAGATCAAATGAGGGTTTTGGGGAAGAACTGGATAAACAAATGAAGAACACAGATGAATATTTGGGTGTTTGTTTGAAAAAAATACGAAAATGTTTTGGTTTTGGTGTTTTTGAAGATAAAAGGAGGGTTTTGGGAAGAACTGGGATGAACAAATGAAGAACATGATTGATTTTCTAGAGAGAATGCAGAGCATTTTGAGAGAATCAAAGAGTTAGAGAGAGAGAGAGCAAAATAACGAAATAAAAAAGAGAGAGGAAAATGCTGAAATGAAAAAAAATACCTTTTATACGGGTTCGTTTGGGTTTCGGGTTTGGGTATGACCCTCGTATTTTTAACTTTGTGTGGCATTATAGCGTGGTCTCTTAGTTTTAAATTTGTTCAATTTAGTCCAAATTTAATGATGCAATATATTAATTTAAGCTTTATATTTCAACTTTTTTCAATTTACTCTAAATTTAATATTACAATTTATTAATTTAAGCTTCATATTTAAAATTTGTTCAATTTGATCCTTATATATTTTCCAATTCTTTCAATTAATATATATGTTTATATTAATAAATTAATATATAGGTTATAATATACTAATGAACTTTTCAATATATAGTTTATATATACTAATGAACTATATAATATATAATTTGTATATAGCATATACTATATAGGTTATATATATGAATGCATTATATAATATATAGTTTGTATATACCATATACTATATAGGTTATATATACTAATGAACTATATAATATATAGTTTATATATACTAATGAAATATATATAATGCATAGTTTATATATACCATATAGTTTATATATATTATATAGTTTATATATACTAATAAACTATATAATGTATAGTTTTATATATACCATATAGCTTATATATACTAATGAACTATATAATATATAGTTTATATATACTATAGTATAAATTATTTTATATAATATATAAATATTAACTATAGTATATAGTTTATATGGTTTTTATATATAGTTCATATGTAAATTATACTATATAGTATATATAGTTTTTATATATAATATGTAGTATATAAATATAAACTATAGTTTTTATATATAATATATATTATATAAATAGTTTATATAGTTCACTAATAAACTATATATATAGGTCATATGTAAACTATAATTCATATGTAAATATCAACTATAGTTTATATGTAAACTATAGTTAGTATATAAACTATATAGTTTATATGTAAACTATAGTTCATATATAAATATCAACTATAGTATATATATACTTCATATGTAAACAATATAGTTTATATATATAGTTCATATGTAAACTATAGTTCATATATATAGTATATAAATATAAACTATAGTTCATATATATAGTATATAAATATAAATTATAGTTTATATAAATAGTATAAAATACATTATATAAATGTAAACTATAGTATGTAGTATATAAATATAAACTATAGTATGTAGTATATAGTTCACTAATAAACTATATATATAGGTCATATGTAAACTATATAGTTGTAGAGAAAATGTCGGCGCACGATTGTAGAGTTCTCTCGGCGCACATTAGCTGGACTAATGGGTTCTGAGATTTCCTCAGTGTCTCCGACGTTTCACCCGTCTTCCCATCGATCCTCTCTCAACCTCCTTCTTTCTCGCTCAGAGTGTTTCCTCAATGGATTGGCGTAAACTGTTTTGATGCTCTCAAAATCATTAGCTTCAGTATTTTCCCCCAAACGAGAGAAATAGAGTTCTAACTGTTCATCCTCCGCCTGAAGTGTTCGAAGGTGGAATTTCTGAGTGGAAGCATTCCCTCGTGGGCTAATTTCTGGGGTCTGCTCCAAATTTTACAACTCTTCAAAGGATTATCAACGGATTATAAAAAACCTCCTTGAAAGGTTCCAATATCCAGGTCAGTTACGCTGGACCCAATCTCTATTTATTTTCATTCGAATCTAATTATGCTCGTGATTGGGTAATGGAAAACGGGTCTTGGCATATATACAATAAACCTTTAATTCTCAGACAATGGGAACCAAATATGCAAAAACTACACTTTGATTTATCCAGAATCCCAATTTGGGTCCATTTGTATAATGTCCCTCTAGAATTGTTCTCTAATGAAGGACTGAGTTACATAGAAAGTGCCATAGGTTTCCCTTTGTCAATGGATTCTATCACAACTTCTAAGACTAGATTGGAATACGCTAAGGTCTATGTTGAAATAGGGGCTATTGATAAGATCCCTAAGTCTATTGATATTATTCTTAACAATGGTCTTCAAGCTTTTGTTACTGTTGATATCCTATGGCTCCCCCTTGCTGCAATTCATGTAACATTTTTGGCCATAGTACTTAATCATGCAAGTTTAATCCTAATTCCTTCACCACTGGCCAAGTTTGGAGGAAAAAAGAATCTCTACATTCCTCTTCACAGTCTCAAGTTACTCCTTGCATTGATCCTTTATTGAACTCTAAAGCTGAGGATTCTGTTAATGCTAAGGTTTCCAACCTTGAGGAAATTGTTACAGGGAACCAACTTGTCTCTGAACTCCCACCTTCTGATAATGCTACTTCTTCCCTGAGTGCTCACTCAAATTTACCTCCCTTAAGTCCTCCTCTTGAAGAAGAAGTTGTTGACGTTGAAACTGATGAACCCAAAATTCCACCAGAGTCTACTATCTATAATAAAGAGTTAGCAACTCCTTTAAAAAAGGGTAGAGGTAGACCTCCAAGAGTTAATTCCACCAAATCATTAGCAGGTTCCACCAACATATTTGAGATACTAAATTCTATAGAAGAGGTTTATTCTGAGCTTGAGATTCAGGGGAACAAACCAAGAGCTGTAGCTTTTGGGGTTGCAGATTTGATTAAAGAGCTCAAAGCAAAAAAGAAATCCCATCTTGACAAAGCTAAAAGTGCAACAATATGTAGTAAAAAGGGGGATTCAGTCCCCTCACCCCAATTTAAATGATAATTTCATTTTGGAACGTAAGAGAACTAAATAATCCTCTTAAACAAGAAAATGTTCTTATGAGAGCTACTCTAAATAATACTGATATCCTCTGTTTGCTTGAAACCCGAGTTAAATTGGATAAATCTCCTGAGTTACTTGCTTTTAGATTTGAGAACTGGAATGTTTTTTGCAACTATGATCATGCTGAGAATGGGAGAATATGGTTTCTCTGGAGAAATGGATTAGATATTTCTTTATGTCATAAATCTGCTCAAAGTATTACTGTTAAGTGCATATTCAAGAATGTTCACTTTCTGGTTACTGGGATTTATGGTCACAATGATGGAATAGCAAGAAGAAGCCTCTGGCAGGATCTTAGAAATATAGAATCTAGGTTTCCTGACTACCCTTGGATCATGGGAGGGGAATTTAATGTCACTTTGTACTCAAACGAAAGTTCCAATCATGAGCTTTTAGGTACTTTCTCTTCTTCTGATATGATTGAATTCCAAGATCTCACTAATGACATTCAACTTCATGATCATCCTTTTTTTGGCCCTACTTATTCTTGGAGAAACAAACAAGGAGATAACTTCCTTGCAAGAAAACTTGATAGAGTCCTCACAAACTCTCAATGGTTTGAATCTTTCCCTCAATCCTTTGTGGAATTTTTAGCTCATGGTCCTTCTAACCATTGCATGGCTTTAGTTACTCTTAATAAAGAAATTCAGCTCAACAAACCCAAGCCTTTCAAATTCTTCAACTGTTGGACACTTCATCAAAATTTCTTAAACACTGTTAGTAACTCTTGGCTCCAACCTTGTCATGACAACCCAATGAAGAAAATTTTCCTCAAGCTTAAAAGACACAAAGCTTCACTAAAAATTCTGAACAAGAATTACTTTAGCGACATTTATGCTCGGGTTAGAAGTAAAAGAGACGAGATCAAAAAACATCAAATTCTTACTTTTAGAGGAGTTGAGCCCATTGAAACAGAACTTGATCTGCAAAGAGAGCTTAATTCTCTTGAGGAAACCGAGGCTATGATTCTTAAACAAAAAGCGAAAAATCATTGGATGAAAGAGGGGGATAAGTGCTCCAAATTCTTTTACTCTGTCATTGCTACCAAGAATAAACGTGACACCATTAGATTCTTAGTTGATGATCAAGTAAGAAGACTGAACTCCTTCGATGACATGTCTAATGAAGCTATTAATTTCTTCAAAAATTTTCTTGGTTCCTCTGACCCTGAAGTTAAAGTCTGTTCAACCAGTCTACTAAAAGGTCTACTGCATCCAATTCCTTCATTTGAAGATTACGAGGGGCTCACAAAGGAGTTCACTAATGAAGAGATTAAAGAGGCAATTTTTAGTCAAGGTAATGACAAGGCACCTGGTCCAGACGGTTATACTCATCTTTTCTTTAAGAAAGCTTGGCATGTGATTGGAGATGAAGTGATTGAAGCTATCAAATTTTTCTTTCAAGAATAATTTATCTACCCTGCTTTCAATGCAACTACTATTGCCTTAGTTCCTAAAATTCCCAATCCTAGTATTGTCTCGGATTTTCGGCCAATATCTTGCTGCTCTGTCCTTTACAAGTCCATTACAAAAATCATTGTTAAGAGGATCACACAATTAATGCCCAAGATTATTACCCCTAACCAAATAGATTTTGTCAAAGGGATGAGTATTGTTGATAATACCCTCATTGCTCAAGAAATAGTGAAAGGTTATGGGAGGAAAAAATTTCACCTAGGTGTGCTCTAAAAATAGACCTCCAAAAGGCCTTTGACTCTATCCACTAGGGCTTCATTCCTATTATTCTCAAGGCTTTAGAACTACCTAGTAAACTCATTGACTGGATTAATGCCTGCTACTCTATTGCTTCCTACTCCATTGCCTTTAATGGAAGCTTGGTTGGATTTTTTTAAAGGAGCCAAGGGTCTAAGGCAAGGTGACCCTTTATCCCCTCTTTTGTTTGTTCTTGTTATGAATATTCTATTCAAACATCTTAATAAAGCTGTTGATAAAGGGATATTTGGTTTCCACCCTAAGTGTAAGAAAATTGGCCTGACACATCTTACTTTTGCTGATGATCTGTTAATTTCTGCAAAGGAAATCTTGAATCTGTCATGAGAGTTATTAATGTTCTTAACTCTTTCTATGAGATTTCTGGGCTTAAACTTAATGCTCTCAAGTGTGAGATATTCACAGCTAGTATTTCTGTCTCCACTATTGATAACATTATTAATTTTTTTGGGTTCAAGCATGGTCTTCTTCCTGTCAAATATCTGGGAATCCCCTTGGTCACCAGAAAATTGTCTTTAAAAGATTGTCAGCCTCTTGTTGGTAAGATTAAATCCAAACTTCACAAATGGTCAAGGATGAAGTTGAGCTATGCTGGCAGGCTAGAGCTTATTAAAACTGTCCTCTTCAGCGTCGTAAACTTCTGGTGTAGGCAGCTGGTTCTGCCTCAGTCTATCATTAATAAGATTGAGCAAATCTATTCTCGTTATTTCTAGAAAGGATCAAATATTCCTGCTTCAGAAGATCGAGTAAGCTGGGAAAGAGTCTGCACACCAAAATCTGAAGGAGGCTTAGACCTCAAAGACATTAAATCCTAGAATAGATTTTGTATAATCCACCTTATCAAAAACATTCTTGCCCAGGATGGCTCTTTATGGGTAGCTTGGTTACATTGTTATATTATCAAGCATTATAACTTCTGGTTCATGGATGAATCTTCTACTTTCAGCTGGAGTTTTAGAAAAATTTTGAAGCTTTGAAGTGTTGCGTACCTACTGCTTACTTCGGGAGTTACCAACACTAAAGAAATTTGGGAATAGGTTCGACTTAAACACAACAAAGTCCACTAGAAAAAGCTCACACGGTTCCCTCTTCACATTCCTAAACACAACATCATCTCTTGGATGCTAATCTAGGATTGCATCCCACCAAAGAAATGCTGTTAAGGTTCGGGCTTGTCACCAACGATCAGTGCATTCTCTGCTCTAATGGATGCGAAACCAAAAACCATCTGTTTGCTGAATGCAAACTGTCTTCTTCAATATGGAATTTTGTTCTTCTTCTTTCAGGTATCCAAAAACCTCCTTTCACTTGGCCTAATTTACTGATCTGGGTAACAACAACATGGAAAGGAAAATCTCTTATTATTGTCATCCTCAAACTCTCTTAGTGCGTATTCAACTACACTATATGGGAGGAAAGAAATCGAAGGCTTTTCAGAGGTAGTTGCAGATCCGAGGACGCTATTATTCTCGAAATTAAGCAAATTATAGGGTCTCATTTAAGCAATAGAAATATCAATAGATTAGATAGCACTAATTTGGATATTTGTAATCATTGGGGTATAGTTTAATTTTGGTTGTACATAGGATACCCTTGATTTTTTCCACTGTCTGAACTGATTTTTTTGTAGCAGGTTTCTCCCTTCTTTGGGTAATAAAAATCTTAATTATCCAAAAAAAAAGTAAACTATATAGTTTACATAGTTTATTTATATAGTTTATATAGTTTATACATATAGTTCATATGTAAACTATATAGTATAAGTTAGTTTATATTGTTTATATATAGTTTAAATACTACTATCTATAAACTATATAATTTATATATAATTCAATAAATTAACCTTAAATCATAAATCCTAAACCCTAAATCATATAATATATATATATATATATATATATATAAACTATATAGTTTATATTAATAAACTATATAATTTATACAATATATATTATTTATAATTATACATAATATATAAATATAAATTGTATAGTTTATATATAATTCATATATAATTTATATATAAACTATGTAGTTTCTGTATAGTTCAATAGTTCATATATAAACTATATAGTATTATAGTTTATACATGGTATATATAGTTTATACATAATATATATATAAACTATATAGTTTATATATATATAATACATGTACTTTATATATAAACTATATAGTTTATATTGTATATATATATATTAGTTGTTTTAATTTTTTTCTCAACTTTTGAAATGAATGCAATTTAGTCCATTTTACAATATTTTTCATATTTGATCCATTTTTGTTGTTTAATTTATTTAAATTTTTATTTATAATTTCATATTTGTTCAATTCAATCCTCCAAATTTTATTTGCATATGAAATTGACCCATACTTATTACTTATTTATTTTTTTTATTGGCCCATAACTTTTAAATGAGTATAATTTAGTACTTTTTTTATATTAATTTCAACCTCAAAATTTAAAATTATTTCGATTTGATCCCTCATCAATGTGTGTTGTTTAATTTATTTAAACTTTTATTTGTAATTTCATATTTGTTCAATTTAGTGCTCCAAATTTTATTTGCATCTGAAATTGACTCATACTTATTACTTATTTCTATTTTTTAATTGGCCCATAACTTTTTAAATGGGTATAATTTAGTACTTTTTTGTATTAATTTCAACCTCACAATTTAAAATTATTTCGATTTGATCCCTCATCAATGTTGTTGTTTAATTTATTTAAATTTTTATTTTTAATTTCATATTTGTTCAATTTAGTCCTCCAAATTTTATTTGCATCTGAAATTGATACATACTTATTACTTATTTCTATTTTTAATTGGCCCATAACTTTTTAAATGGGTACAATTTAGTATTTTTTTGTATTAATTTCAACCTCACAATTTAAAATTATTTCGATTTGATCCCTCATCAATGTGTGTTGTTTAATCTATTTAAATTTTTATTTGTAATTTCATATTTGTTCAATTTAATTCTTAAATTTGTATTTTTCATAAAATTGAAACATGATTATTTATTTTCTTAGTAATTTACTCTAAATCATATAAAATTACAAATTGCAATTCAACGTTCGCGAAAGACGAAAATAATTAATCCAAAAATAAAAATTAACCCAATTTGAACTCAATTCGTATCTGATAGAGATCTGACCTGAATTTTATCTGCCAATGATGTGACCCGATCTGAACGAGATCCGCCTGAAGTCCATCCGAACCTGAATTAACATGCTCTTTAACTGCTTCGAACCTGAACTAACATCGATCCGATCTGAAAGTAACCCGATCTGAACCCGAACTGTACCTAGTGTCAAATCAACTTGATTTGACCTGGACCCGACCTGATCCGAGTCGAAGCATCAAATTTACCTGACTTGATCTGTATCCGATTTTACCCGACGTAACAGGATCCAACTAAAACCTGAACAATTACCCGATTTTACAACCCTAGTTCCCAATCCTCTCACCAAAATGCAAAAGGAGCCTAACAATGTCTTCCCTTTCAATTCAAATCCATCCAAAGCCCTAAAAGAAACTAGGAACAAACAATGCCAACCGTGTTTGAAAACCTCTTATCCCCTCCTCACCCTCGTTTAAACCCTTATCTCAAAAACCCTAATTTATTCCCTCCAATCACCCCGCCATCTCAGCCTCCCCATCTCGGATTCCGTTGTTTTACGATCCCAGACCCGAAATTTTCCCAGTTTCAACTCCCGCCATCCATCTTTCAATCCCTTTCCCAAAGCCTACAGTCCAGGTTCTTCAATTGCCACCTCACCAGAACAAAACCCCAATTTTAATACTATCAATTTAAATTCTTTTCTGTCTGCCGCTGAACTTTTTTGCATTTTTTCTTCGACTGTTGTGTCCGTTGTTTGTGCCTTTTCGGACTGGAAAGGTGTCACTTTGGGTGGGATTTGGAGAAGTATCACTTTATGGAGAGTTTTAGGATTGGTGGGTGGGATTGCCATTGGGGCGTGGATTAGGAAGCGTCAGTGGCGGAGGATTTGTGTCGAAACGGACAAGGCCGGTGGAAAGGGAGTGAATTTGGTCGGTAGGATTGAGAAGTTGGAGGAGGATTTAAAAAGTTCCGTTACGATTATCCGTGTTTTGTCTAGGCAACTTGAGAAGTTGGGAGTTCGGTTTCGGGTAACAAGGAAAGCTTTGAAACAACCTATTGAAGAGGTAACAATGTTGTAATTCTTGTTGCTTGGTGTTAAGTTTTTAGTTAGAGAACTAGAGTTGACTAGTTCTTGCTGCTAAAAGTTTAAGTTTTTAATTAGAGAATAAATGGAGTCGAAGAAACATCCAATGTTATGAAGTTATGGAAACATATTCATTGGAATAATAAAAAAATGCATATTCATCGGAATTTGTGATATGGATCAACATAGTTGCTTCAATTACACAAGTTCTATTTGATTGTGCCATCTGTTGCCTAGTCGACGTAGCATCTAACACTTTCACTTGATATAGATGAATAAACTAATGTTAGCTGCGGCTCTAATGTGATTGTAATGATCTTATCACCCTTGCTTCCTACTATGAGTAAATGGGAAGGCAAGCTGTTGATAACAAATTGTATTTTGTGATTTGTTCTTATGTTTATAACTTCCTCTTGTCTAAAGGCTGCAGCCTTTGCTCAAAAGAATTCTGAGACTACTAGAGCATTAGCAGCTCAAGAAGACATCTTGGAAAAAGAGCTCAAGGAAATTCAGAATGTTTTGCTGGCAATGCAGGTAATATTTTACCATTGTTTGATTATTATCATTATTTTTTAATTTTCTGAACTTGTTGGTAATATGCTCGGTTGGTGTAGGAGTTCCATAATGGTACTTCAAGTAAGTTAAATATTGGTTATGATATTAGTTGCACAAGGGTTTTAAAAGAATAAATATGTCAAGCTTTTTCCTGTCTATTATTGTGGATTTGAATGCTTAAAAGATTCTGTGGCTTGGATTTAGCAAACCTTAAGTCTCATTAAAACCAAGAAAAAGTAAATGAGCCGTGATTCAAAGACAAGAAAACTATATTGCATTCGTAGTTTTTCTGTTCCGTACTCCTTAGTCATTGTACCAATGGAGAACTTGTCTTCAGAGGAACTAACCATCGGTAGGAAAACTCCAGCTTGTGGCTGTTGGATTCTCAACATGTGAATTAATTACTAATTCAAAACATGGTTTGTCATTGGATTCACAACATGTGATTGGTGATGTATTCTATAGGAGCAACAGCAAAAACAACTTGAGTTGATCCTTGCAATTGCGAAGTCAGGGAAGTTGTTTTAAGACAAGCGGGGACCAAGTCAAGGGAAAGATGCAGTTGAAGCAGGTAAACCAACTGAGGAGACAAAACAAATGGAAATCCATCAGAGTCAACGTATAACCAGGGGATCTAGCAATGACAAATCGTAAGAATTCAAAGCAGCTGATGTTATTGGTGTAAGTGCAACAGTGTAATGTCAGTTTGTTTGATCCTTCAACATACAAGGGCTCGACGACTGTCATAGAATTCACCTTAGCCGCTTGAGCATAAACTTTTTTTTTTGTTTTCTCGAATTCTTCTTGCTTGTTGACGGTTTGACCCTTGCAGCCCTGCTGCAGTTGAAGATGGATGAAGAACTAGAAATGTTTAGTAACGTAATAAAATGGTACACTTGCTTATTTTCTGTTGAGCATAGAAACATGCCAATATGAAAGGCATGGTTTTTTTGTGCTCACTTGTATCTGTAATTCTTCTTTTGCGCGATATCCCCCGTAATCATACAGATATTCAAAAGACCTTTTTTTTCTTGGCTTAGTGTTGTATTTTCTCTACTGTTATAATAAGATATTCAAAAGTACTTTGTTTTGGTGCACCTTGCTGGCGGCCTTTTGAATAACAACGGATTATAATGCAATTATGAGGGAACTACTTTCTTCTTTAGCTCACCGACAATGGAGACGACGGCTTTGGCTTAATGACGAAGCATTGGGAAAACGGGCTTTTCTTCCAATCCTCAAATTTGACATTTTGAAGATGCTTGATTGTTTATAAACTTAAGGATCAACAAAGTCAAAAGGATAAAGGGAAAATCTCCTCTCTATCGCAAACTGATCAATTTCTTTGATATTCCATGGTAGTTGCCACACACTAATTTGGACCATCTTTACAAATTCCACTCCAAATTGTATAATCATTGTGGGGACGTTACGGAAGCATGGAAACGCTATGAGATATATACCTCAATTTACTAAGGAAACAAATTCTTTTGCTACAGGTTACAAGTTCTTTTATTACAAACACTCCTAGGAAAACTTGTTTATACACTACATTAGAAATACAATGTTTGTACATAGCAAAGTGGCAGCAAAGTGCTCAACGCAGTCGAGGTTGATGTCCGTGTGGAGCTCTATCAACCTAAATTTGAGAAGACAGGGTTAACAATCCTATAGGGGGAGAGGGGAAGACAATCCTTTAGGGGGAGAGGGGCCAATCGAATGCAGCATTTTCAGAGTCAAAACCATCATAGAACCTCATTTCCACATCTACCACGTTTTGGTCATCTTCCCAATCCCCATCTGATATCTCATCATAGTAATCAACACCAACATCTCCGGCAACAAAGTCCCAGGCCAAGTAACCAGAGGAACCTGAATAATTCGAACAATCATCCCATCCCTTCATCCCAGAATAGTCCACAACGAGAGGTCCGACCACCTTCAACCGTGAAAGTTTATTGACAAAACTTTCATCTAGCTTCACATTCCAACATCCTCGAATGTCTAGTAACTCCAGGTCAGGGCAGCTTTCAAGTATTTTGAGCACACCTTCTGTGCTAATCAGCAAGTATGCCACCTCAAGTTGCTTGAGCTTCGGCATTGTAGTAGCAATGGCAAGGGCTTCATCATCTTGAGACAGTTTATCTACTACCTCTAATGGGTGCATTGTTCTCCTCAACCCCATTAGTAACTTACAGTGCTTGCCTATTGCTTCGAGGGCCAGTGATCCGATATTCCTGCAGTAACTAACATCCAAGAAAGTCACCGAGGACAGCCTCCCAGCAACCTGTTCCACTACTGAATCACTTATTTCGCTTCTTGGCAGCCGTAAAGTCTGAAGAGATTTGGCACTAGAAGCAGTGGGAAGCTGGAGTAAATAACAAAAGCTATATCCCACATTTACAATATCCAAGGACGTCACAAACCATTCATTGATCATAGTATACACTTCAGATTCTTTACCACGATATTGGCTATTGTTCCCTACTCTATTAGTAAATATTCAGAATACAGAACTTCATCCATTAATCTTCACTTTAATATTATTAGTTTTAGGCTTTTATCAACCTATAAAGAGATAGCAGATGTAGGGATATAAAGAGAAAATGCAATTGAGAGCCATAGATAGCAACGAGTCATGTCCTTACTTATCTGCAATGAACGAAAAGCTCTGGTCATTAGGGAGGCCGGTAACACAGAGATTGCGGAGTGAACCCGAGCTCCTAGTTATCAGCATTTGAAGCATGCGATCAAGGATCTCCGGCCGACATTGTTGGCTCCATTTTTCAATGTCAATGTCCTGCCAGCAATAAGGTCCACTAACTGCTCTCCCCCATGATTTGCATACCCTTGGGATCACAGTAAGTACCTCCTGGAGTGGAAGATTCTTGAAAATCAACCCAAGCGCATCCGGAAGCAATTCATCCCAGCACCTGAACTCACCATCCTCTTCCATCTGTAAAAAGTAAGGCAAAAGCAAAAAGGTTCTATAAACAAGAACTGAAAATCATAGCATGTTAAAAAATGGGGCCTAAATTACTAACACAAAAGCAAATGGCAAATAGAAAAACTGGAACAATGACAATAAATAATCTGGTTTTCTAGTAAAAGAAGCCAGCTTTAAGCAAAAAGATGATTGAAAATGAAGAATAAATACTTTACCTGAGCATCACAAAAACCTATATAGTCTTTTCACACATCAACCCAAATCCGAACACCTTTTGAAATCTTCTATTCCAAGCAGTTTGATCAAATAGCTCGGAGAAAATAACCATACCCAGATCAAGAAACAGCTACAAGAATCCAATTATGCAAAAACAAAAGAAAATTAACGAAAGAAGAAAGACTTTTACCCAACAAGCCAAAAAAGGTCACTCATATTTAAAAAAGAAAAATAGATGAGAGAAAAGCAAGTAGCATCATTTTATCGTAATTAACATCACTCAAGAAGTCAATGGAATTACACTGTACCACAAAAAAATCTATTCTTTGAATAATAAAGAAAAACTGACAAGAGAACATTAACATATATACTAGTTCTACACTTTATAGTTAGCAAGAAAGAAAAAGAGAAAAAGATTTTACCAGAAGTTTGGTTTTTTTTTCGCTGGATCTGCAAAAAAAAAACGCGGCTTATCCGCCACAAAGGTTAAAAAGAGAAGAAAGCTGAAAGACCAGTGAAGAAAGAGAGATTAGAGCTACGAGTGACAGCAGATAGCTACAGAAAGAACAAGGGGAAATGATAAACGTTAACCAAAAGTGTTGAGTAAATTATTGAACGAGGAACTGTCGGGAAACAATGGGGATTTAGATAATATCTGTGTCTCCAATTTATTTTTAAATATTTCAGTTTTATATCTAAAATAAATATCTATGAACATTCACTCATTTTAGTGCTTTTATTTTAATTATCTAATTATATTTCTTAAAGTATACATAACATTGAATTTTATTTTTGTGTTATCTCTCGTTATATTTGATGGTTAATTTATCAAAAATATAATATAATACAATATAATAGTAGTTTAAATTCATAACTTATAATTATATTAATTTAATCTTAATTTAAAATATGAATTCTTTAATTCTTAAAATTCTATCAATTTGATCCCTTTATATAATATATTGTTTTGCTAATAAATAATAAAATATTAGATCTGATTTTAAATCGGCGGGGCCTAATTTAGGTCTAGTTTTACATAAAATGTCAATTTAAGTCTTAATTTTACCTAATAAAATATCTATATAAGATTATGATCTACTTACAATATATATATATATATATATTTAATTTTACACTTTTTACGGTTGTTAGATTAAAAATCAAAGATTAAAATTAATTTTTTATTTATTTTTTCTCAATAAATATCTGTTCAAATGGACCACAATGTTGATCCAATTAGTCAAATTACCATTCCTAATATCAATAACCAAAAATCTGTTAACTCCATCGTACAATTCGCAAATCACAATTTGCATAATTAATATAAAATTGTTCAGAAGAAATATAAAATTAAATAGAATTCCATTTTTATCAATGTCTTCCTTCTCTACCGCTGGGTCGCATCTTTTAATCCCTATGTATATCTTCCTCTTAACACATAAAGGAAATTCAATTTCAAACCGTCGTAAAAATCTTGCACCTTACATGGATAAAAATGATATAGAATGACCAGATTTCTTAAAAGTTTTCCTGTAAATATATAACAATTATAGCAAAAAAATACATATTTAATCTATCAACTATTAATGCTGTTATATTTTGATCATTTAATTATCCTTTTTCCCAAAATCATCATTAAGTTTTTTGTTCCATTTTGATCACTCAATTAGATTCGATTTATTTTTTAAAATTGTAATATATAGAGTTGATTTATATCACTTATTTTTTTATTCGACGTATAAATTGGTTTACAATAATGAATAGTATTAAGAGCAAGGGGGCATCTCCACACCTTCAAAATGTAGAACAGTATGCCAAATCAGACAAAATATAATGCATAGACATAGAGGGCAATGATCATTTTCTCGAACTCTGGAATAGAATTCTCAACCTTGGCAAAAAAAGGAAAGAAGCCGATTCTTGTAAAAATGCATTGGCTTTGGAACCTGCTCGGTTTAGTTGTCGTGGGCTCGTCTCCTCATAAGCAGAAAATCAAGCTCCACGTGAAAGTGGAACTTGCATTGCAGGTTGAGGTGGTGTTGCATCTCTGGTATGTTGTAATACCAAAAGCCTCCCCTTGTATCGGGAACCTCAGCTTCTTCCGTAGCCGGGAAGCTTTGCAACAGGAGCCACTGGTTTAATCACGTGCTTCCTGAGGATGTTGCATGTTTGGAAATGATCCCATCCTTGTCTGAGCTGCTGGCAATGGAACTGAACTAGAAGAAGACATGGTGATGTGAAGAGAAGAAGCGAGGGTAGGTGAATAGATCGTTTATGTTGCTGAAATATTTATGATATTATAATTTAATATTTAAAATTTCTTTTATCAAAATTTCAAATACAAACAATGTTATTTGTTATTAACGTTATAATATTATTTATTATTATAAATTAAAATTTATGTGTCAAGTAAAAAAAATTATGTGATATAAATGAGTTATTATGTATTATAAATGTTAAAACTAAATGTAATTCAATTGGGTAACTAAAATGGAACAAAAACTTAAGTTTAGTGATGATCTTGAAAGAAAAAAATAGTTGGATGACAAAAACATAATTGCATTAATAGATGAGTGACTAAATATATAATTTACCTTTATGTTTTTAATACAGTTAACATGCAAATAAGATAACGATTTAAATTTTAAGGGACAACTCAGTAAAAAATGTATAATTTAAGGGGGAATGGTGCATTTTAGCCTAAAAATGACTTATGCAAAAATAAGTGCCCAAAGTATACTCTATAAGTTAATTTTAAGTGCCTAAAGAATATTTTGTTAAAATAAGGTACCTAATATTTCCAATGTTACACTTTTAGGTATATGGACTGTAATGCTCATTAAATTCGAACGTTAAGTGGAACATTTCATGTTTATAAAATTTTAATTTTTTTATTTAAATTAAAAACTTAAAAATATTTTTCATTTTGAAAAAACTTCCCAAAATTATAAAATTACGAAAAATATCTAAGATCATTAATTTTAATCCTCTTTATCCTCGTCGACTCCACAACGCTGTCGATCGAACTAACGCAGCCGACCAAAACTCCACTAAGTGGAAGCCGGAACCCCTTATTTCTTCCCTCAATATTGTTGCCAAAATTTCTAAATCTTAATATCCAAATCTCAAAATTTTAAAACCCAAAATTCCAAATGAATTGATAAATGTACTAGTGTTCATACACGGAAGAAAAATTTCATACATGAGGGTTAGGGTGACCCCATGCTACTGAACGGGGGTAAGGAGAGGTGAAATTAGTAGCAACGTCGCTGGAGACTACGTACAGGATGTGTTGGGAAATTAAGTTTTTTTTCTAAAAAATGTTTTTTATTTTCAATTTTTTTAAAAAAACATGCACGTACAAGATCTCTTAACGATTGAATTTAATAACCGTCACAACGTATAACATCGAAAAATATTAAACACTTATTTTTAACGATTTTTTAAATACTTAAAATTAACTTAGATATATTTTGGACATTAATTTTTTTACATTAAACCTAAAGATTTAAAAACAAGTGTACAATCAGTATAGAGAGACGACATCGACTGAGCAAACAATTAATGGCGACATTGGAAAATGGGCGTGGGGAAGATTGTGATTTAGAATTGGAAATTATAGATTTTATGTTGGATTAAATTTATAGAATTTTTAAATATTTAATATTTTTAAATTATTTTAAACAAGGATCAATTTAAGTTTTGAGGACTAAAATCATTGATATAATATGTCATATTATCATTTTCGTTAAACCAATCGTCAAATCTAATGAAACATACCAAAACAAAAATAAAATGTAATATTGAATATAATTTTAAAAAAATAATACGTGACAAAATAAAAGCACAAAAATATATGAATGATCAAATAAGTAGTTTATTTTAAATTTTATTATACTTAATTTTTTTTGTAAAAAATAATTAATAAAATCAGCTTAAGAAGAGTGATAAATGATTTTATAAAATTTTATTAGTTTCATGATTAAATATTCCAAGTGATGATTTATAATTGTATTGCTTAAAACTTATAAAAAGTACAAATATTATTGTAATAATATTTAGGGTAAACTACATGTTTAGTACCTAAACTATCACTTTTATTCTATTTTAGTACTTAAACTTTCAATTTTTCAAAACCATACCTAAAGTTTACTTTTTATTTCATTTTAGTACCCCGCCATTAAAAATTTATGTACTAAAATGAAATAAAAAGTTAACAATGGGGGTACTAAAATGAAATAAAAAGTAAACATTAGGTATGATTTTGAAATTTTTTGAAAGTTCAGGTACTAAAACGGAACAAAAGTGATATTTGATGTACTAAACGTGTAGTTTACCCTAATATTTATGATGAGGTTGAGTTTATTTAGAACTTTGAGGTATCAAATTGAAATTTGTAAATTACACATGAGTTCTTTAAAAAATCTTAGTTTGGTTTCATGTATGAATATAGGCAAATTGCCCCTATAGTAGATCCAATTTATCACTTTTGCTCATATCGTATTTTCGCACCAATTTAGCCCTCGAAGTTGCTCAAGTATAATATTTTATAACCATACACCTAACTTAAAACTCTAAACTATAACCCTATTACATCTAAACACTAACGTGGGGTTTATAATTTAGGGTTTTAAGTTAGGGGAAGGGCATAATATGATGCAATTAAACAACTTGAAAGGCTAAATTGATGTAAAAATATGATATGATCGAAAATGATAAATTTGATATACTACAGAGGCAAAAGTGACCCTTAAACATAAATATACTTCAAATTTCAAATTCAATTGTGTATTATAATGTTTAATTGTAGTTGTATAGTAAATTTAGGTAAATAATATTATTTATATAATTAATTAAGGTAGTGTCACCAAAAGAATATTTAGAAAAATGACTCTCATTTTAAGCACATAGGAAAAAGACGTACTTCGTCGATAATACTGTATTAAAAGCGTCTTTGTAATACATGACAACTCAAGCAGATGCTATTATTAAACAGACACACCTTCTAGTAATTTTCCTCCTAAACTTGAATTTCAACTGTTAAACGATTTATGATTTTATAACAATGATTTTAGAAGAATTTAAAGTTTTCAAAACGGATTTGAGTTGAAGTTGTTGGGAAATAAATGAGAACGAGTAATTTTCCTATAACCAGATTGTTGTAGACATCTTTCGGTTGAACCCGGAATTGAGCTTCGACTTGAATGAAATGGTTAGAGTCGCCACCGACCATTTTAAAAAGAATTTAGGTGGATCGAACATCATCTTACATGATCTGCGTTATACCGGAAATATATCGGGTTCGAGAGTCGGTTACGGTCAAGGAAGGATTAGCACCCTTGAACCGCCCTTTCGGTACCAATTAATTTATCGGTTGTCTTGATTGCGAAAAATTAAAAATTTAAATTTAAATTACTCCATTCGAATTGCTTACATTTGTTCGTTTGAAATTGCCACTAAAAATGTCGAAAAAAATGTTAGATGGTAAAATAAAAATAAATACAAAAAAAGAAAAAATACATATATATATTATAAAAAATATTAAAATAAAATACTAAAAAGGTAGTAAAAAACATAAAGGAAAAAAAATAAAAAATAATAGATAATAAAAGATATAATTAAATATAGAATAATAAGGAACTAAAATGAAAAGAAATTAAAATGGGGGTCAATTTAAAGAAGATTTTGAGATAAAAATGGGATTTTGGGGGTAAATTAGAGCATTAAAAACATAGAGGGACTAGAAAGGGGATTGATACCTTTCCCTTTAAAAACAGGTCATGCGTGTGTGGGTGGACTAAAATGAAACACGTGCCAAACTCAATAACTAAATCAGACTTTCAAATATCTTAACATGAAGACCAAAACACAAGGATTCAAAACTAATGAACCTTACCCACAGATAACCCATACTCCAAAAACACGGGTTGATCACTTTTGAAGCATTGCCATTTGCTGAGATGTACCTTATTTTAATGGGCTAATATATACATTATTTTAATGGGATAATATATGCATTATTTTAATGGGATAATATATACATTATTTTAGATATAAACTAAACCTTATCCTTATTTTTTTCATCCCTTTTCCCCTCCAACAATGCCGTTCTCTCATTCTCACACTCGATCAAAACCTCAAAAGCTAGCCCCTCTTCATTCTAGTCTCACCTTCTCTTAGGAATGATGGATGTGTTGAAGGAACTCACCTATTGGCTTCGAAAGGTAAACACTAAACCCTTTAATTTACCTATATTTTCCATTTTAAAATCACGAAAAATGAGAACTAATTCAAATAATCTACATGCAAGGCTTTATGAATAATTCTCGATGCTTTAGTGTTAATCCCGGTGACTCAAATTGGTAAGCTTCTAACTCTTATTTTCTTTCAAAACAAATACCACACACACAAGTAGTTGCTAGAAAGTAAATAAAATAAGATAAAAATGCCTCCTTGTTAATGCCATCCATTTATTTCTTATTTCCCTTCCGAAAGCTTTACAAGTGCTCGTGTCTTGCGTATTTCTGAGTATTTGTGTGTAATCTCTCTTGTAAAAATCGTGTACTGTATGTTGAATACAAACACATATTTATAGCCTATAATATATTATATTTTTAGGGATAGAGTCCTAATATTCTTGGCTCGTTGGTTGTTGTTTGTTGAGCGAAATGGCCGTTGTGGAGCATATTCGGCGGAGGATGTTGCGTGAGAAGTGTACGGTCGTGAAACTCGGATGCGGCGTTGAAGAGGTGTGAAGGGATTAGGGTTGTTTGGAAGTTGGTTGCACGTTGGGCTGTTGAGCCTTTGTTGGGTCACACGTGTAATGCTGGGCCACTGGGTTGCTGCCCATTATGTAATAATTTCGGGCCTGTAAAATTAGAAAAGAAATTTAACATTTATTATAATAATAAAACAACAAAAATATAAAATCGGGTGAAAATTGGTATCCACAGCTGCCCATCTTTTCCCATAGTCGTGTAACAGGGATAGGGGAAAGATTACAAGATACAATTTTCGTCCATGGATGTATCACTAAGTTTAACATCCGTCATCGAATATCCTCTATTGTGGTGTTGAAATCCGATGTTATGACAGGTTCATTAATTTGGATTGAATCATGAAATGACTCCCCTATCATGAGGTTGAGCTGAACTGGACAATTCTGAGCACGATATCCTTCGTCGCAAAGTTGAAATCGAACTCCAAAATCTTCGTTGACATATAACTTTCATCGACTTAAACTATGCTACTAGAAAATGATTGCTTGTCACTAAAGCACAACCGACCCAGGTCTTCTTCTTGACTTAAAGACCTCGGTTTAAACTAGAAAGTAGTTTCTTGATGCTACCATGCGGTTGATGTGTCATCAAGCTGAATGGAATCGAGCTCAACAATTTTATTGACAGATAGCCCTTCTTGCATTGAGTTATGTTATAAATAATGTGACTTTGAGCTGAGTGTAATCGAACTCGAAGGTCTTTTGTTGGCAGATAACCCTTCTTGCCTTGAGTCATGCTGCAAATGATGAGCTATTGAGCTTAGTGTAATCGAACTCAAAGGTCTTTGTTGACAAATAACCCTTATAGCCTTGAGTTATGCTGTAAATGATGTGCCTTTGAGTTGAGTGTAATTGAACTCAAGGGTCTTTGGCAGATAGTCCTTCTCGACTTAAGCTATGCTGCAAATGATGTGCCTTGGTGCTGAGCGTAGTCAAACTCAAAGGTCTTTGGTTGGCAGATAACCCTTCTTGACTTAAGTTATGCTATAAATGATATGCCTTGGAGCTGAGCGTAGTCGAACTCGAAGGTCTTTTGGTCACAGATAACCTTTCTAGCCTTGAGTTATTCTGTAAATAATGTTCCCTCGAAGCTGAGTATAATCAAAATCGAGGGTCTTTGGCAGATAACCCTTCTCGACTTAAGCTATACCACAAATGATGTGCCTTGAAGCTGAGCGTAGTCGAACTCGAAGGTCTTTTGGTCACAGATAACCCTTCTAGCCTTGAGTTATGATGTAAATAATGTGCCCTCGAAGCTGAGTGTAATCGAACTCGAGGGTCTTTGGCAGATAGCCCTTCTCGACTTAGGCTATGAAGCAAATGATGTGCCTTGGAGCTGAGCGTAGTCGAACTCAAAGGTCTTTGGTTGGAAGATAACCCTTCTCGACTTAAGTTATGTTGTAAATGATATGCCTTGGAGCTGAGCGTAGTCGAACTCGAAGGTCTTTTGGTCACAGATAACCCTTCTAGCCTTGAGTTATGTTGTAAATGATGTGCCCTCGAAGTTGAGTGTAATCGAACTAGAGGGTCATTGGCAGAAAGCCCTTCTCGACTTAAGCTATGTTGCAAATGATGTGCCTTGGAGTTGAGAGTAGTCGAACTCGAAGGTCTTTGGTTGGCAGATAACCCTTCTCGACTTAAGTTATGTTGCAAATGATATGCCTTGGAGCTGAGTGTAGTCTAACTTGAGGGTCTTTGGCAGATAGCCCTTCTCGACTTAAGCTATGCTGCAAATGATTTGCCTTCGAAGCTGAGCGTAGTCGAACTCAAAGGTCTTTAGTTGGCAGATAACCCTTCTCGACTTAAGTTATGCTGCAAATGATATGCCTTAGAGCTGAGTGTTGTTGAACTCGAAGGTCTTTTGTTGGCAGATAGCCCTTCTCGACTTAAGCTATGCTGCAAATGATGTGCCTTTGAGGTGAGCGTAGTCGAACGCGAAGGTCTTTGGTTGTCAGATAACCCTTATCGACTTAATTTATGCTGCAAATGATATGCCTTAGAGCTTAGCGTATTCGAACTCGAAGGTTTTTGGTTGGTAAATAACCCTTCTCGACTTAAGTTATGCTACAAATGATATGCCTTAGAGCTGAGCGTAGTCGAACTCAAAGGTCTTTTGGTGACAGATAACCCTTCTAGCCTTGAGTTATGCTATAAATGATGTGCCCTCGAAGTTGAGTGTAATCGAACTCGAGGATCTTTGGCAGATAACCCTTCTCGACTTAAGCTATGCTGCAAACAATGTGCCTTGGAGCTGAGCGTAGTTGAACTTGAAGGTCTTTGTTGGCAGATAACCCTTCTAGCCTTGAGTTATGCTGTAAATGATATGCCTTAGAGTTGAGCGTAGTCGAACTCGAAGGTCTTTTGTTGGCAGATAACCCTTCTAGACTTGAATTATGCTGTAAATAGTTTCTTTAAAAAAATGTCTTCCCTTCACGGGTCTAAGCTGGTCATGATTCTTCAGGTGATTTCTTTGAGCGAGTATGAACCAAATGAGACGATCTTTGAATGACTCCCCTTTTACGAAAAAGCCCACTGATAAATTTTGACAGCCGGATATCTTCCGTTGTGGAATTAAAATCTGGCTTGAAGACATTCACTGGAAATATGATGCTTATTGTAGAGTTGAGCTGAACTAGATTTGTTCTGAATTGGTTCTAGAACCTATCTGAAATTGATTATATATATGTAGATATGTCAAGTCAGTTGAGGTGTAGCTTCTCACTGCTGAGTTAAGCAATCACCATCGTTCTTTAAAGGCGCTTGCGAATCAAGTATCCTTCATCATGAAGTCGAAACTTGATTCTAAAAGCTGTAAAAAATCATGTATGCTAAAATGATGAATGTGATGCACCTAAGTATGTCTTAGATGCATACAACATGAATGAATTATGTGTTATTTCTTGGATGGAGTCTTGTGTTTTGTCTGCCAATCTGGTCCTTGGAATAGATTGTGCCCCATTCTCTTTTCAAGCTTTGGCTTTACAGGCCTTTCAAATCTGAGACTGTTCTGTTTGAAAATGTTTTTCTCATTTTTCTTGTTTTAGGAGAGAAAATGATAAAAAAAGTTATAAAATATTGCTCCTTAATTGAATCAAATTGTAAACATGAGTTCAAAGTATATCAAAGGAATCGATAGCTCTTTTAATGTTTTCAGAGTTATAGCTCTTTGACAAATGTTCAAATGGATGAGTTGACTTCAGGTTGACCTAAGGTTTCAGCCATAAAAAAGTCATTTTTTCGGTCATTGCAACATATTTTTTCTCTGGCTTGGCATTTTAATTGGGTGCGAACAAAATGACGCAACTAGCATTATAAATTACTAGACCCTCTATTTCAGTTCTCTAAAATCTTCCATTTGTTCAAGATTTGTAGGCTTTTCTAACAAAGGCCATGCAAAAATATCGGTCTAAAAATGAAATTCTTGAGTGCTCGTGTGAAATTGACTATAACAGGTGTTCCTTAACTCCCTTAGTCCATTTTACCGAAACTTCATGCTTAGATAAATTTGATTTAATTTGCTGTTATATGGCTAGCTGAATCCATAAAGCCGGGGCGTTTAAAAAATTGCTCTAGAGGGATAACTTACATTATAATCAATTTTATCAAGTTAACTGAAGGGTTCATCTCATCACAAAGTCTTCGGCCGGACAATTGCAGTGGAGCAAACACCGAATTGCCAAGTATTCGAGCAATGTCAAGGTTCGAACGTAATCTACTCATAAGGTCAGAGCTTTCAAGTTTCCTCTATAACCAATTGCCTTAGTGGAATA